TGTGTGTGTGTGTGTGTGTGTGTGTCTTTGCTAATTTTGTCATTTCATTTTTCATTTTTGCCTCTTTTTTTCGCTTTGGTTTTCGTCTCTCTGTTCTTTGTGGTGTATGTCTGGTGTGTTATTACTTCTCTCTTCAATATGTGACGTGTGTACTTTTGGATATCGTTTCGATATCCCAAAACTCCTAAAATATTGAACTGATTGCCTTTCCCATGAAGCCTTAATGCAGTTTCTCATTTCGTGCCTCAGACGGTCCAAGTCGCCCGCGGCCACGCGAGATATTTCATCACACCAGCAATCGTCTTTCATTCAACTTCCGGTTTCCGAGAAATTAAGCCACTGCGCTCGGGCCTAAATTTCCAAGAAACTATGCGAACGAGGAACTGAAGAAAAGACAGCTCTCGACAGCGCAGTAAATTTTGAAATGGCTGACAATTCAGCGAACACTGCAACCCAGTAAGTAGGTTTAATTTTTGTCTCAATGTAGTTTGTGTTGTTGAATTCAGGGGCCTGTTTCTCGAAAGCCCCGGAAAGTTTTCGGCTCCGAAAAGCCATTTTTAGTTGATCGGTACGGTATTTAAAGAGAGTTCTTGTACGGAATGGAACCTCTGTTTATACTCAAAATGTGTGAAAAGAACAGCTCTGTAATCATAAGTTAAGGTTTGAGATTTTGCTCCGGCTCTCCGGGTGCGAAACCTTTTCGGGACCTTCGAGAAACGGGTCCCGCTGCGAGTGAATAATAGAAAATAAGTCATCCATTATATTGCCTTTCGTTTGTAAAATCAAATTTCCTGTCATCTCTAGTCAATTGATTCCATCCTTAAAACTACCAAACAAGCTTAAACCTTGATCGAGGAACGCTTTGGCGCAAAACTATCGACCATCTGTGCAATTTGTAGAGCTGAAAATTGTGAGCACATCGCGAAGCGCGAAGAAATACATGTATAATTGTCTTGAATATTTAATTTAGCTGACTATTTGTTGGGTCAAAATATTGTGGTTGTTAATTTCAAAATTTCATGTTGTCGGGGGGGAAATATCACCTTTCCATATGCCTGACTAGCCGTTCTGAATACTTGTATTTGGTGCATAACAGATTCGAATTTGGCTTCTTTGTCTGCGACGTAAGGATGTACAATGTAGACCTGTTGGTGTAATGTAATGTGATTATTCACGCGAAATGTGCGTGACCAGTCTGAGAGTTAGTATATATGGGTTATTGACCAAGCATGAGGTCAGTATGGTTCGATATTGGACAAGTTCTAATTTTTTTTTGCCTGTTTAAGGACCAAGATAGTCAAGGACCATAAACAAGCAAAAATAAATAAATGAGTAAATAATAATAAAAAATAACAAAGCCATATATCTAGTGATCATGATGGAACAAGCTTGCAGGTCAATAAAGGATTTATTTTGTGGTTTCGGTTGCAAAATAAATTCATGAAACTCGTCAACATTTTGTTTTCTTTGTTTAATTTTGTTAACACTTCCACTTTTCTCATTTTCCAACTCAATCATTTAATATACAAAGACGATAGGGAATCTTTAAGCTGTCACAAAAATATTTTTGCAATGTATTAAAATTATGAGAGAAAACTTTAGTGAACCTGCTTGAACTAGCTTCACGAAAATTTTCCTTGTGGGACACATAGCGCAATCCCTAGCCGACAAGATAGCACCATCTTGCCTGCTTGGGTAGCCAATCACAGTGTAGTATTTGATTCATCTTAACTGCTCATGGTTAATAATATTTTTTTTTCTTTCCTTTTTTTTAGCCTCCAGTGTGACAAACGTTTTTGTCTTCTCCTTTGTTTTGGAATGAGTCAATAATTAAATTGATATTATTTTAATTTTCTATCTATGCAATTGATATTTTTTATTCATTATATCATCTAAAGGTGCCGTGGAATAAATGACCAGTTGTTTGATCTAGGATGCCTTGCTCCCGCTGTAAGTTTAAAAGAACAAAGAAAAACTTAGAGTACTGAAAGTTCCAAAAAATATTACTATCAGTAATTAAGGTGTCTGTTGAATTTTTCTTTCTTTTCATTAATTCCCTCTCTCTACTATCCCATCCTTTCCTCTAATGCCTCATCCCTCCAGCCCCCGGAAATGTGTTCCCGGAAAGGCATAAACGACTGCACAATTACAAGTGAACCAGTCAGTCTAGTCTCACTTTTGAATATCACTGGTACAGACATTGATGAAGCAAATGAAGGCCAGTTGTACCTCTGATTGACACCTATTTAAACATTGACATGAGAACTAATATGGAGTATCTCCTGTTTTTCGTCATTTGATTTTTCATACATGAATGTCATTGATATGAAATAACCGCTGTTGCAATTTGTTACCTCAATATGATAAATGGACATGATAAATGAACCAGTCTCTCAAATAAACATCATCTAAATAATTAATTTAATCTATCTTTAAATGCCACTCACTCCCCCACCCCTCCCACAACAAAAGAAATTATAAAATCCTGGCTGTTGATCTGTCAATTAGGTCTTTTCCTGCAGTATAAATTGGATAATATGATATTGAACTGTTCAATACAAGGCATCCTAATGCTGTACATCATGTACGAAAGCACAAGTTAGAGCTTAAAAATGGCTGCAAGAAAAAGGAGGCACTGCACCCAGTTGTTTTCATTTTTTAGTTTTTAGTTTTATTTTGCGACTCAGTTGTTGGAATATTTAAAAATTATTGCTCATTATGTGTGAAATATTCTAACTCGTTTATTGCAAAATGATACGTTCACCTTATCAAGTTCCGTACTTTGAACTCACTTGCACCCCGAAACAAGCGTTTCCACATCACGTGTTTCCACATAACGTGTTTCCACATAATGTGTGTCCACATAATGTGTTTCGGGGCGCAAGTAGATAAAAAGTGTCAAATGATCTCGTTGAGGTCATTTCAGGTCTTAAATCGTGTGATTTCGTATCGGAACGGTAGTCCTCTTCTCATCTGACGAAGATGGCAAGAAAACGCTTTCTTCATTTGGCCGTACTTATCATCTTTATTCTCACTGCGTGTTGCCTCTCTGGAAACTACGCATCACAATCTACCGAGCAAAAAGGTGAGTTTGGATATTTTAAAATGTTTATATTATAGTTTAGTTTATTCACATCTGCGGTATTGCACTGTGTTACGGGGAAGTAACTACCCGACTAAACTAAATTGTTTACTACTGCTACAGAAAAGAGTACTAAGGATTATAACACAATCAGATTGGAGAGATCATAGTAGACCCCTGTTTACTAATTGGGTATACTGAATATAATTCAAATTACTAGATTACAAGTGGGTGAGCTGGTATACAAACATCAAAATAGCCCGCTTCCTGCTATTTATGACTCCTGTTTCACGAACATCAGAAAGGTCCGCCGATATTGCACACGTACAAGATCAAAACAAAATTTGATTATAGCTCGGTCAAAAACTAATTATGGCAAATTCAGTGTTAGATTTGCCGCAGCCGATAATTGGAATATAATACCTGTACTTGTAAAAATGCTTCCTCTCTCCAAAGCTTTAGAGATAAGAGGATCTTTTAGATCTTATAACCGCGCTTTTAAAATTTAACTGTTTTCTTAGCACTACAGTCGCGACGCAGTGCACATTCCAAAGCAGTTCTTGATGATTCATTGATTACTGTAGGATCAACACAACCTGAACTATTGCACCATCGCTCTAAGCCTTTGTGAAATCTATAATGAAGTAATGGCTTTAGTCTGGAAGTTCGCTCGAGACATGCCCATGAATGATACGAATAGGAAACGAGTATCACGCTACTAATAGCGCTATAAATAAACAGCTTTCTTCCTTAAAAATCAAAATTTAATTTGTTTGTGCTATGAGTAAAGAACAAACAAAGTAGTCGCGCGAGTCACACAGTCCGAGGTTTACGCTACTATTGATCCCAGACGTCCTTTGAAATTGCTTTTTTTCTAAAGACAGACGGACGGCAAGGCTGATACTACGTGAAAAACGTTTCAAAACACCAACATGACAAGAACCGATAAAGTAGGATCGCAACAGTGGACAGCTGTTTCGTCCTTCTTGGGACTCATCAGCACTGTGTAGCGAAGATGCCAACGCACATAAATTGCAAAATGACCTGTTCACTATATCAAGTTCCGTACTTTGAACTCGCTTGCGCCCCGAAACACGCGTTGCCAAAACACGTGTAAGGAAATCACTGAAATAATGCCTTGAAGTAGATGATAACAAAATCGGGTCTCAGTTTGAACCCGTCAGTTTATGCCAAGGTTAAGGTAGCATCCCACCCCAAATGTGACCATTGTGGGGGAAAAATATTTTACGATAGCAAGATAGATCTTACTCCTATCCTTGTTTTAAAAGACTCTTAACAACAAATAAATCCCGCACCGGAAGATGTGCCTGACAATTGTGAGGCGGTAATTGTGTGGCTCTATTTGTCATCTCTGATCTTATGGACCAGAGAGCAATTTGTATTGTTTCCTATCCAGTTTATTACCATTCTTACCCAGCTGCTCGCATCTCAGAAAGCATGACTCCCTTAGGATTTTCACTGGAGTCATTGGTACTTACTTCCTTCCCCGCGCGCCTTGCGCGTTCAGCGTCGCGTCTTATTCTTCGCGCGTCGTATTTGTCACGTTTACCTTTGTCCCTTTTTTCGTTTGTTTAGGCATTGCTAACGTTTTTTTGGCCTATTCATAATACAATTTACCAGTCAGAGGAATGAAAACTCCCGAAACTGGGATGAAACACTTTCAATTCTACAGTAACAACTTACCTTCGGAGCGAGCGACCAAACAGCGATACCTGGTAGAACTGAAACGTAGCGTTAAATTCCCGCGCAGAACAGTATTTGACATCTTGTCTGGTCAGCATTTGAGCGCTATTGTTATAAAGTAAGTTGTGCCGTTTGCTTATAAACGGCAGGTAATTACTTCCGCAACCTGTCTTGCTCTATTTCTCGAAACTATATTTTAAAGAAATGGGGCGTACGTTTTAAGTTCGTGTGCATCGAGTTTTCAACCGTTTTAGCTCAAATTTGGCGAGAATTTTCCCATATAATGTGGCTCAAAAACAGTGTTGGCGTTTTTGGTTTTTCTGATTCTTTCTAGAGTTATAAACAAATGAAGGAAGAGGAGAGATATTTCTTCGAATCTCGAATTAAGTTTAACCGGGCGTAGAAAACAAACCAGGCAAGCAATCGAAATTCGCCGACACTGTTTTTGAGACAAAGGTGTTAAGAACTCGGCGCAATGTTTGTCTCTTCGTCTAGATCACTTCCGACTGCACAGGAACTAAATACTGCAGGCCATGTTCTTTTGCAAAACGACCGCTATATTTTCAAGGCATTTATTTTTTTTTCTTTCAATAAATATGGTATGGTAATCTTCATTTATTAAGCTTTCAGAAATATATAGTTTGTCAGGGTTTTTATTTAACGTCTCGTCTTAAAACGGTGCGAAGGCAAAGCGGTCATCTGGGGTGAGATGCTACCTTAAACCGTTTAAATTTCGGTAAAGATTTGACCTACAACAGATATTCGTTTAGTATTCTGTTGCTTTTCTTCCGCCGATTCAACCTTATGAATGATTCTGCAGTGGGCCTGCCTCCTGATAGTATAATCGATGCAGGTCTGCCTTCGTATTACTTTTTGACGAATCATTCTTTCCAATTATAAGATAGTTATAAATTTTTGAGACAACTTTAAAAGTTTGACGAGAGATTGAGTTTCTCCTTTTATTTTAATTGTTCCTTTATCCTTTTTAGCATATGCGCATGCGCAAAGTTCCATTAAGGGTACTCTAATGCGTACCGTACCAGATGGAAGACACGTTGCTTACAATGTTATATGTTTTTGTTACCTAGAAACTCTTCGAATAGTTTCAAATAGCCTGAATGTAACGCATCTACTATAGCAACCATTCAAATTTTCGTATTTAACTGCCAGCTTTCCAATTTCAACAGTTCAGTCGTTAAAATTGCCTGATGAGTGTGGTCCTTGTACCATACGAAACAGTTCTGTAGCGATAAAACGATGATTACTCGTGAGATTTGAACTTCTCTGAGGTTATAGTTGATTCTCCTCAATCGATTGAGTTGAGCGCTCTANCGAAACAGTTCTGTAGCGATAAAACGATGATTACTCGTGAGATTTGAACTTCTCTGAGGTTATAGTTGATTCTCCTCAATCGATTGAGTTGAGCGCTCTACGAAATACGTTCTACTCAAAAAAGGAATTTATATATATGTGTCGCTCGAATCCCCAATCTAGACGGACTGAGCTGTAAGTAGGAAAGGAATCTGTCTTACATGGTCTAGGGGCTGACATTTCTCTCCTTCACTGCCTTGTCAGGGACAGATGAGCTATCGTGGACGAGTATTCGCAATTAAAGCAGCGAAGAACTGTCTGAAATCTGTCCATGGTACAACGCTCAGGCTTAAATGTCCAGAGGTACCACTGCTGGTTGTATTTTCTTCTCTTCCTCACACTTTTAAGTCATTGGTCTGCGCATGCGTGTATGCCCTAGTGCTCAGATACTTACCACTATATAAACTTACCACTTGTGAGACACCTCAGAGAAGACTCATTTTTTCATCTCTTGATAAACCACGTGTATTTCAAGTGATTCTCTTCTCGCCATGATTTTTTGTCTATCCATACGATCCCTGAACTAAATAGCGATTTTTTGCTTTGTTTTTTTCTTGTTTTTTTGTTTGTTTGTTTTGTTTTGTTTTGTTTTCGATACCCATAGACATTTGCTACAGGCCCATGTAAGCAGATTTCTTTCCATAATTCCACGCCTTAATCTTTTTGTCGAGAGTTCATCACTCTCGCTTTTTGATTGTTTATGTCTCAGTTCTCCCCGGAGAACGACGTGCTCATCGTAGAGTTCTTTAATTTAACCGACATTTTTCTTCCACTTGTAGAACAATGCTTAGAAAATGAAACGACGTTTGCGTGTAGAAGGAGAATTGAAGAATTTCCAGTCAAAGCGTTCTTCGTCAAACTATCACTCAATGTCGCGCGAGGCTTATGAATTTAGCTTGTTGTTCAGAATTTATTTTGAGTTACAATGTAGTTTTCGAAGAGCATTCCCGTACATTATACTACGGGGTAGTAGACCCTCCTCATCTCTTCCATCCCCCCTCCCCCCTCCCCCCTCCACGCCCCGGCACTTCCCACTTATTGACCAGCACACTATATTGCATTTCCTTAAATCGATAATAATCATAAGGATGAAACATTTCACCTTTTGTTTTCAAATATCCTACAGCTAGCATTCTGGTAAGCAAAAGGAACGCTCAAAGCTTTTTGGGGAAACCTCGGAGCCGACATCGACGCAGTGTTTGCGAAGAAAAGAGAGAATGCTGCGAGGAGGTCGGCGAGGGCATTCATTTGGAGGAGCAAGAGGAGTGCATAGAAGAAACCGGAACACGCCCCACGAAGTATAACTGCCCTCCGCCTTGCTATTACGGCCGTTAGGTAAATTGACGACTCATATTACTGAATAGACGAGCAAACAAACAAAAGACCAAAAGACAAACGGACACAGCCTTTGTACATGGCGGGTACTGCGAGTGACTAGCTCTCAGGGCAAATTGCGATACTAACGTAGGGGACCCAGGGTAGGTGAGATCTTACATCCACGGCACCCCGGGGGGAAGTTTGTAAACGTTGTTGTTGCAGATGACGTGAACCCGATCTCGGCTAGGCGGACTACCCACCTTGAGATGTTTACTGTACCGCAAAATGCGACCCCGGCTTACAGAGTTCACCCTACTTGGCACTGAGACCCGGCAACCCGTCTAAACGGGTTACCCCACCTATCACGTCAACACGATCAAATTACAATTAGGGATTAAATGGAGAGGCGGATTATCTCTCCTAACTGGGGTCCCCACCTCCTGATGTAAACAAGCCCTCCAGTTTTGTAAATGTTTTCCCATATTTGAGATGTCTACAGTGACATAAAAAACTTATATCTTATCTTTTGCTTTTTTTCATTTGCAGATTGATGAAACATTTGATTTGCAAGGGAGAGGGGGAAAAGGTTGAGTCTGCTAATGATGCATTTTTTACATATCCTGTAACTGAATGAAATAGACAAAACTGATAAATAAATGTTTACCTAGCAAAGATCATTTATCACCTTACTAGATACTGTTTTGAAACCTTTTCTGAGAGTGAGAGACAGACAGACAGACAGACAGACAGACAGACAGACAGACAGAGTGATGTGGGCATTTGCCACAGTATATGTAGCAAATACGGAGGCTGGGTATTTTTTTTTAGATAGATAGATAGATAGATTCTTTATTAAAATACATCCAGCTCGTAGAGCTCAATTACGTATTTGCATTAAGGTTCTAATTAAATATACAAACTTACAAATTGAATAAAGCGGTTTTCAATTGAGTGTCGAAAGTAATCAAGCAATTACTTTGGTTTTGGTTTTGGTTTTGGTTTTGGTTTTGGTTTTGGTTTTGGTTTTGGTTTTGGTTTTGGTTTTGGTTTTACTTCGGTTTAAGATTGGCTGAGTAGTCTAATTGGTAAGTAATTGGTTTGGTTTTGGTTTTACGACACTTAATTGAAAACCGCTCTAATACCTAAGAGCTAATGATAATAATATATATAACGTTTAAAAACTATAAATATCTCGTTGAAATAAGGCCATCCCCTTTTTTTTCTCTGTTTAGCGTCGTCCGACCGGCCCAGATTTTCGCGTTTTCAAAAAAAAAAAAAGGTCCACAGAAGGCAATGAAGGCAATGAAGCCAATAGCACATTATTTCAAACAATTGTCACTTTAGTCTGAAACATAAGCAATTTTTTGCCTCACAGATTTTTAGTTTTTCCCTGTTCTTGTTTGATTTTAACAACGACGTCGACTTTTTCCTTCCTCCATTGCCGCGATGTTGACTTTGTAACCACACCTTGTTGTTTCCAAGCTCCACGGATATTATGCTGAGGTACCGGGCCTCCCAGCTCCAGACTCCTTTTCCAAGTTTATTTTTGTTTTTTGTTTTTTTCCTTTTCCGACCGACCGACCCAAAATCAGAAAACGCATTCAACAATAAACGAAAACAAAAGGGGGGGATGGCCTAATAACGCCAAAAACACCTCCTTAAGCGGTATTTACTTGGGCGCATGAAGCTATTATAAAGCTGTTCTTAAATCTGTTTGTTTTACAGCACGGTGTGCGAAAGGTGCGCGCGAGCCCAAGATTGTACTTGCTCTTATATAAGGGTGGCAGTAATTTCCTAAGTTAGCTTAAGTTTATGGCCACTGTCATTAAAAATACTTTCAACGTGCGCTTGCAAATATCACTGTGGTGCTCCGCTACAGTCGGTAGGTTCACGGTGCTAACGCGCGCTGATATTCCATGCCAGGGCAGATGATTCGCATTGCCCTTTTCTGAACACGTTCTAATTCTTGCATTAGGTAGGCAGGCAGAGCATAATGAAAAACAGGAGCAGCATAATCAATAACGGAGCGCACGCAAGTGATGTAAAACAGAAAAGATCTTTCTGAGAAACTCGGGCTATATTAAAAGAAAATAGAGCTTCTTAGCTGCCTTCGTTATCACGTCTGTGATATGCGCGTTCCAAGATAGGTAACCTGAAATAGTTACATCTAAGAGTTTTGCATCAGTAACAACCTTTATGCACTCTCCTCCGATAACTACAGAAGGGAAATCACGACTAACTGAAGCAAACGAAATACGAAGTTCCTTACATTTGCGGGTATTTAGTTTGACTCTATTTCCGTTGGACCAGTCCGCTACCTCATCTGGTGTAGTTTGCGCGTTACAGATTTGTCCTTTCGTAACTACCTCTGACGCTCTTGTATCATCTACATATTTTCAAAGTAATGCATTAGTGATTGCTAGATAATTGATCATGTTTAAAAACAACCATGTGCCAAGTTTGGTCCCTTGAGGCACGTCTGAAGGAACTGTGCCCCATTCTGTTACGCAACCTTCAGAGAGTTCAGGGAGGCTACCAGTAGCCAACATTTGCTACCTGAACCCTTAGCAGATACTTAACAGTGCGTATTTGCCACCAAGTGTCATTATTTGCTATGGCAGCAAATACTCGGTGTGGGCATTTGCTACCAATAGTTGATATTTACAACCACAACAATTTATGGACAACCGCTTGAAAGTTAATTTCTTGCCGATGCAAACCCATGGAGGCCGAACGAAAGGAGGAGGAGTTGCCCCTTCTGTGTTACCAGATTTTCATGCTTTTCTAGGTTTTTTCGCCGCGTTAAAAGAAAGGATTGTAAACGGTCCTAGGTATGTTTTATACTTAGCTCTTATTAAACGAGCAGAAGGTCTGTATGGGAGAATCTTGACCGAGGTCGTGAGTACAGACCGAACGCAGTGAGATCTGTACACACGACCGAGGTCAAGATTCTCCCA